AGGTAGAAGCGAGCCGAGATCGCACCACTGCACTCCAGCCTGGGCAACAGAGCAAGACTCCGTCTCAAACAAAACAAAACAAAACAAAACAAAAAAACAGAAAAAAATAAAAAAAAACAAGTCTACTTGATTCCTATCTTCCCCAGCCATCAAAATGCATCTCTCTCTTCCTAAGACAATTCCAAGGAATGCTTAAGTGAGAGTTCATAATTTCGCACGCAATAATTTGCAAGCACCAGTCCAAAACGATCTCAGGTGCAGCTTCTATAAATGGTAAACTCTCAAGGCTTGCCAGCTGGAGGTGTGACCTGTAAGCAAACTGGTTATAAGAGCAATTCATTCTGTGAAAGATACTGTGCAATGACTTCTCTGAAATATATCCCACAGAATAAAAAGGCTTCTGTTTGTGCAGAAGCACAACTGACAATTGCATCCCATAGAAACACTAAAAACAATCTAATAGAGATTTGAAAGAATCAGAACTCTCCTGAGAGCCTGGTGAATCCAGGTGCATGCTCTCGGCTTGTGCTCTGGGGCCCAAGAAGAAAAACTGGGCAGTAATTCAGGTTGAAGTTTTGCAGGGGGGAGGTGAGAGGCCCCTAGAGGGAGAGAAGCAGAGATGATGACCAGCAGAAGCATCCGCATCTGTGCAGCAATCAAAACAGTTGGATGGGGTTGGGTGCAGTGACTCACACCTGTCGTCCCAGCACTTTGAGAAGCCAAGGCAGGAGGATCACATGAGGCCAAGAGTTCGAGACCAGCCTGGCCAACATGGCAAAACCTCGTCTCTACTAAAAATACAAAAATTAGCTGTATGTGGTGGCGTGCGCCTGTAATCACAGCTACTTGAGCTAACCAAGGCTGAGGCATGAGAATTGTTTGAACCCAGGAGATGGAGGTTGCAGTGAGGCAAGATCACACCACTGTACTCCAGCCTGGGCAGCAGAGAAAGACTCTGTCTCAAAAACCAAAACAAAAAAAAAAGTTGGATGGGAGTGAGCTGATGGCTATGTGGCAGGATCCCCTTTCTGCCAGGAGCAGGTCATCATTTCATGACCTCTGCTTCCCTTTGATGACTTTTATTCCTCTCCCTACAAACACTTCTACCTCTGCCTGGCATTCCAGGCATTCCCGCCTACTGTCCAATAGGCCAGGATTGACAGACACTAAATCAACCTCGTGACACCATGACATTAACCGTGGGGCTCCTGAGATGAAATCAGGAGACAACTTTGTTTTCTCACTTGGCCATTTGAATCCTTCTTTTGGGCTGGTTCTTCCTCTACTGTTCAGATAAAAACTAAGATGAATCACTTAGCTCTTAGTCACTCTCAAATAACAAAAAGTGTTCCGATGATGTCATCATTAAAAATTAGTCTCGGTTCAGTGATATGTCCAGTCCAGTGCAATAAGTAAAACTGTAATCTTCATTAAAAGTTAAAGTCTTTCATCTCAGCTAAACCCTGCATAGGAACAGGAAGCTTGTGGCTTCTCTCTCATTTCTGACTTTCCACTCCCACAACTGGACACCCCCCTCACTTAGGTGCTTCTGGCTCCCAGGGACTGAATGCTCCAAAAATCCTCTTCAACCATTCTAATTGATACCAGACACTTTGATGCCTTTCATGTGGGCAATGAAGTAAGAGTTGCAAAACTGGCTTTGACCCCCTAAATCATTGATTCACTCAACCAATTCATTAAAATATCCATTTGACTTTTTGATTTAATAATTATTTATTAAATATCTGCTGTATGCCGAACACTGTGCTAGATACTGCAAGAAGACACACTCCCTACCATCCAAAAAATTTCCCTGTGGTTCACATGAGAAAAGATGTACACAATTAGACCCCAATACCATGTATACTGAGGGCCCTATTGTTAATGAGGACAGTGTTAACAATAAATCCGCAAAGGTAATTGTCCTTTCCACTGGGGAGTATTAGAGATGACTTTACAAAAAAGTAGGATTTGGGTTTTGTTTTGTTTTGTTTTGTTTTGTTTTGTTGAGACGGTGTCTTGCTCTGTCACCCAGGCTGGAGTGCAGTGGCTCGATCTCGGCTCACTGCAACCTCCACCTCCAGGATTCAAGCGATTCTCCTGACTCAGCCTCCTGAGTAGCTGAGATTACAGGCACCCACCTGGCTAATTTTCGTATTTATAGTAGAGATGGGGTTTTGCCCTGTTGGCTGGACTGGTCTCGAACTCCCGACTTCAGGTGATCCGCCCACCTTGGCCTCCCAAAGTAGGTTACAGAGGTGAGCAACTGCACCCGGCCTGGAAGTGGGATTTGAACTTGAATCTTAAAGGCTGTGTAACAATAGCTCAATCGATGTTTTACATGCATATTATTACTTAACCTCTGTAACAACCTTATGAGGTAGGTACTATTATTATCTGCAGTTACAGATAAGAAAATTAAAGCATAGCAATATCAAGTAACACGTCCAAGTTCACATAAGTGGGAAGTGAAGTATCAGAGATTCAAGTCTAGAGCATGGGAGAATTTTCCAGAATAAGAGGTAGAGGCGGAAAGTGTTATAAACCAGGAAACAAAGCGAAGAAAGATACAGAATGGTCATGGTGTGGATTAACATAACATCCCATTCTGACATAAGGGAATAATCTCAGGAGGCCTGCTACTGCTTAACAGGCCGATGGAAGATGACTTGACGAATTAGATGAGGCAGTTTGGACGCAGTCATCTCCAAAGTGAGTAGCCATTAAGCACCTTTCACAGACGAGCACAGTAGGTTCTGCTTCCATCTGTGTTCTCCCACTTCCCCTAGTGCTAACTGCGTGAGATTTTCTTAAACTCAGCCCTGTCTTCATTTCACCTCTTTATTTCTTTATTTTGGCAGCAGGATTTGATCTGACCACTCCTATATGAGGAGAGTCTCTATCTGCACAGTTCATCTTTGTTACTTTCCTTTTCTGTAACTCAGATAAATAAAAAAGCCCATCAAAAGTCTCCAGTAGGGGGCTGGGCACAGCGGCTCACACCCGTAATCTCAGCACTTTGGGAGGCTGAGGCAGGTGAATCACTTGAGCCCAGGAGTTCGAGACTAGCCTGGCCAACATGGTGAAACCCAGTCTCTACTAAAAATACAAAAATTAGCCAAGCATGGTGGTGCGTCCCTGTAATCCCAGCTACTCAGAAGGCTGAGGCAAGAGAATTGCCTGAAGTCGGGAGGCAGAGGTTGCAGTAAGCCGAGGTTGATAGCACCATCACACGACAGCCTGAGTGACAGAGCGAAGACTGTCTCAAAAAAAAAAAAAAAAAAAAAAAAGGCTTCCCAGTAGGGAAGCCTGCTTGAGTTTCATCTTTTAGTGTGTTTGGGGGGCTGGCTGCAAAAAGGAAGACGCCTAAGAGAGGAAGAAGAGTAGTCAATACTAACGGACAAAGGAGCTGGATGACCTGGAGGATAGAGCTGTCAAAATGGAAGAAAAATTCATTTACGTGCTCAGGAAAGACAATTGCGTATGATTTTCAGTGGGCCTTAGGAAGTGTGATCTAAACCACCATTTTGCCACAAGGATGCCTTTTTTTTTTTTTTTTTTTTTTTTTTGTATTTTTTAAATTGTATATTGCCTATTGCTATGTTTGTTGATTTATAGAGTGATGTCCTTATACAATGATGAAAACTAATGGTTTTTCTTCAAAAATCAACTTCAAAGTGTTGCTCCTTCATCTTTCCTGCATGAGCATTCCCCCTCTAAGTCAATGTCTACCCATATATGCTTTTAATCCTGAAAAATAGTCAAATGCATCACTAAGATTTGAGTATCTAGTAATTCCCCCCAACTCCGATGTATTTGAATAGAATCCCTTACTACTACTTTTTTTTTTTTAATTAGAAAGAAACAAATAAAACAACAAACAACAAGGGCAATGAGATAGCTGGAGAGAGAATGAGTTAAAACTTCAAAACTTGAGTGTGCAGGCTGTTCGTGGGTCTGTCCCTGTCCCTGTAATTCCTGTAGGGGTTCCTATAACTTCTGTCAGTGAAGTACAACAGGGAATTCCGAAAGCATTAGACATAAAATACTTGATATTTTTCCGTGTGGTTTTCACTACTTCTCAGAGTAGGTACGGTCTCAAATTTTGGATTATCTCTTCAGGCTTTTTTTAAAAAAATAACTTTTGAAACCCTGTTTGTGATTTCTGAAAAGAGCAGCAAATGTTTCAAGTAAAAAAGGAAAAAAAAAAAGCACATGAGATGCCAATCTAAGAGATTCACAGTGAGGTGCTGATGAGTTCTGTAAAAATTGTGTTCAATTCTGTTTCACCTGTGAGTTCCTGTACTGTTTTCTTTTCGTAATCACAATTATTATCCTGTAGCCACATGACAGGAAATGCTGTTATAGATGACAACAAACACAAGCAGCATCTGGGCCACAGATTAGATTATAATAAAAGCCTTTGTGCTTGGCAAGAGAAAAATAATGGGTAATACAAAACTATAATCCTATTTTTCATGCATTAGATACCTATAAATGGCATATCTTGAATATAAGCTGTTGCTGTGAAACTTTAAATGTTTAAGATTTAAAAAGTGAACAAATCAGAGCTTATCATTTCAAGTCTCAATTTTGTGCTTTTCCCACAAAAATATACTCTAGGTTTCCAGAAAGTTCTCTAGAATTTCTGTTAATGGACGTCCAAAAGGTACCTGAGTTACATGCCCTGGCCTTTTTTTTTTTTTTTTTTTTTTTTTTTTTTTTTTGTGTGTGTCAGAGTTTCATTCTTGTTGCCCAGGCTGGAATGCAGTGGCGCTATCTCGGCTCACTGCAATCTCCGTTTCCTGGGTTCAAGGTATCCTCCTGCCTCAGCCTCCCCAGTTGCTGGCATCACAGGGCACACCACCACACCCGGCTAATTTTTGTATTTTTTTTGGTTGACACGGGGGTTTCACCATGTTGGCCAGGCTGTTCTCGAACTCCTGACCTGAAGTGATCCTCCCGCCTCGACATTCCAAAGTGCTGGGATTATAGGCGTGAGCCATCGTGCCCGGCCTCCCTGGCTTCTTATTTCACCTTTATAAATAGGCGTGGCCTATTGAAGACTGCACAGATACAACTGTGTACCAGAAAGTGTGACTGCAGAATTTTCTCTTCCAGAAACTGCAATGGAGCCCTCCTGTGGCTAATTTAATCCGGCCAATTTTCCTTGATCTAAGCAGAAAATCATATAAAGAAGCAGCTGTAGCTGCTGCCATTGCCTGAGGGGAGCGAGAAAAGGCCGGGGCGACCAGGGAGAAAACGCAGAGTCGCCACTGGAGAGAAGCCAACTCCCCAGCAGCAGCCGCCGCCGGAGAGGCCTGCCCACCCATTCGCGCGTCCACCTGCCCCGTTCACAATGCAGCCTGCTTCTGCAAAGTGGTGCGATCGAAGGGACTATGTCTTCATTGAATTTTGTGTTGAAGATATAAGGATGTTAATGTAAATTTTGAAAAATCCAACCTTACATTCAGTTGTCTTGGAGAAAGTGATAATTTTAAGCACTTAAATGAAATTGATCTTTTTTACTGTATTGATCCAAATGATTCCAAGCATAAAAGAATGGACAGATCAATTTTGTATTGTTTACAAACAGGAGAATCTGGCCAGTCATGGCCAAAGTTAACAAAAGAAAGGGCAAAGCTGAATTGTCTTAGTGTGGACTTGAATAATTGGAAAGACTGGGAAGATGGTTCAGATGAAGACAGGTCTAATTTTGATAGTTTCTCCGAGATGATGAACAACATGGGTGGTGATGAGGATGTAGATTTACCAGAAGTAGATGAAGCAAATGATGATTCACAAGACAGTGATGATGAAAAATGCCAGATCTGGAGTAAGAAATATTGTCATCACCTGGATTTTGAGAAAGAAAATAACTTCTCTCCAAGATTTCATAATTGAGAGAATTCCTGAGTTGATAACCCTAAAGGCAGATGCTGTATTTGCCTACTTTAACCCGTTTTTCAACCTGTTTATTTTTTAAAAGGCTTCACTAAGGGTTGATATGTACCATTTTAAGTCAGCTAAGGCAATAACCTTATGCGTGAACATTTCCCAGACTTTAGTGAAACTGTTGAGGTCCTAGGCAACTGATGCAGCAGTTGTGATAAATAAAAACATTTCACCTAAGTCTCCTTTTCTTCATAACATAGATACTGACATGATAGGAAGCTCTCAGCTTAGGTAAAGAGAACAAAATTTTAGTTTATAGGAGAGAGAATGACATTACTCCCCATATCATAGGGAGTGCACACCCATCGCAGGGTGCGTACGTTCCTCTGTGATATTGTTCGAAATATCCGGGGGGGAGAAGATAATATTACCCCCCATATAGGAGGGGTGTACACCCCCCTGTGATATTGTTCATAATATTCAGGAAGGGAGAGGATGGCATTACTCTCAATATCGCAGGGGATGTACCCCTCCCCCTGTGATATTGTTCATAATATCCAGGGAGGGGAAAGATGATATTACTCCCAATATCGTAAACACCCTGTGTGTATGCCTTCTGTAACATTTTTCGTAATATCCAGTGGGAGGAGAGGATGATATAACTCCCAATATCGAAGGGGGTGTACACGCCCCTATGATATTGTTCATAATATCCAGAGAAGGAGAGGATGATATTTCTGCCAATATCGCAGGGGGTGCCAATATCAAGAAAAGGAGAGGATGATGTTACTCCCAATGTTGCAGAGGGTGTACAGCCCCTTGTGATATTATTTGTAAAGAGCAGGGGAGGGTAAGATGATACTACTCCCAATATTGCAGGGTATGTACATTCCCCTGTGATATGGTTCCTAATTTCCTGGGGGATATAGGATGATATTGCTCCCAATATCACAGGAGGTGTACACACCCATGTGATATTCTTCATCATATTAACGAGAACAGAGGATGATATAACTGCCAATATTGCAGGGAATGTACACCTTCCTGTGATATTTTTCATAATATCGAGTGGGGGAAGAGGATAAAATTATTCCCAATATCGCAGGGGGTGTACACAACACTGTGATATTGTTCGTAATATCCACGGGGGGAGAGGAGGATATTACTTTTAATATCGCAGGTAGTGAACATTCCCCTATAATATTGTTCATAATATTCAGAGTGGAAGAGGGTATTACTCCCAATATCGCAGGCGGGGTACATTCCCATGTGATATTGTTCATAATATCCACGAGAGGAGACGATGCTATTACTCCCAATGTGGCAGAGGGTGTACACGCGCCTGTGATATGATACACAATATCCAGGGGGGAAGTGAATGATAATCCTTTCAGTATTGCAGGGGTGTACACCCCCCTGTCATATTGTTCTCAATATCCAGGGGGAAAGAGGATATTACTCCCAATATCCCAGGGAGTGTACACCCTCCTGTGATATTGTTTGTAATATCCAGGGGAGAGAGGATGATATTACTACAAACATCGTAAGGGGTGTACATCCCCTTGTGATATTTTTGAAATATCCGGGGGGGGGGAAAGAATTATATTACTCCCAATATCACAGGGGTTGTACACCCCCCTGTGATATTGTTCATAATATCCAAAAGGGGAGAGGATGCTATTACACCCCATATCGCAGGGGGTGTACACACCCTGTGATATTGTTCATAACATCCAAGGGGGAAGAGTATAATATTACACTTAATATTGCAGGCGGTGTACACCCCCGCGTGATATTGTTCGTAATATCTCAGGGGAAGAGGGTGATATTACTCCCAATATCGAGTGGGGTGCGCACCCCCCTATGATATTGTTCATAATATTCAGGGTGGGAGAGGATGATGTTACTCCCAATATCGCAGGGGGTGTACATCTTCTGTGATATTGTTCATATTATTCAGGAAGGGAGAGGATAATGTTACTCCCAATATCGCCCGTAGTGAACACGCCCCTGTGATATTGTTGGCATTATCCAAGGGAAGAGAGGATGATATTACTCCCAATATTGCTAGGGATGTACACCCCCCGTGACATTGTTCGTAATATCCAGGGGGGAAGAGGATGATATCACTCCCAATATCCCAGGGAGTGTACAGCACTTTGTCATATTGTTCGCAATAACCAGGGAAGGGAGAGGATGATGTTACTCAACAATATCGCAGGGGGTGCACATCTTCTTGTGATATCGTTCATAATATCAAGAAGGGGAGAAAATGATATTACTCCCAATATCGCAAGGGGTGTACAGCCGCCTGTGACATTGTTCATAATATCCAGAGAGGGAGAGGACAATATTATTCCAAATATCGCAGGGGGTGTACAGCCCCCTGTAATATTGTTCGTAATATCCAGAGGGAGAGATGATGATATTGCTCCCAATATCCCAGGGGGTGTACAGGTCCGTGTTATATTGTTGGTAATATCCAGAGGAGGAAAGGATGATATTAATCCCAATATTAGAAACATGCTGTGTTAACACCCCCTAGTGATATGGTTTGTAATATCCAGAAGGGGTGAGGATGATATTACTCTCAATATGGCAAGGGTTGTTCACTTCCAGTTGATACCACTTCCAATATTGAGGGGGTGTACACCCCCTGTGATGTTGTTCATAATAATAAAAGGGGGAGAGGTAGATATTACACCCAATATCATGGTGGTGTACACACCCTTCTGATATTGTTGGGATTATCCTGGAGGGAGGTTGATATTACTACTAATATCGCAAGGGGTGTACATCCCCCTGTGAAGTTGTTTGTAATATCCAGGAAGAGAGAGGATGATATTACTCACAATATCGCAGGGAGTGTACATCCCCTGTGATATTGTTCATAGTAATCACAGAGGGAGAGAAAGATATTACTCCCAGTATCACAGAAGCTGTACACACTCCCTGTGATATTCTTTGTAATTTTCAGGAAAGGTGAGGATGATATTACTGATATTACTCCCAATATTGCACTGGGTGTACACTCCCCTGTGATATTGCTCATAATATCCAGAAGGGGAGAGGATGATATTATTACCAATATCGCAAAGGGTGTACACCCTCCTGTGATATTGTTCCTAATATCCGGGGGGGAGACGATGATATTACTCCCAATATCATAGGGGGTGTACACCGCCTGTGATGTACTTCATAATATCCAGAATGGTAGAAGATGATATTACTCCCAGTATATTTTCATAATATCCAAGGGGAGTGAGGATGATATTACTCCAATTATTGCAGAGGGTGTACACCCCTTTTTAAATTGTTCCAAATATCCAGTGGGGAGAGGATGATATTACTCCGAATATTGCAGGGAATGTACATCTTCCGGGATGTTGTTCGCAATTTCCATAAGGGGAGAGGATAATATTACTCCCAATATCATAGAAGATGTACACCACCCTGTGATATTGTTTGTAATATCCAGGGGAAAAGAGGATGATATTACCCCCAATATCCCAAGGAGTGTACACCCCCCTGTGATATTGTTGGCACATCCAGGGGGTAGAAAATGATTTTGCTCCCCGTATCCCAGGAGTTGTACAACCCCCTACGATATTGTTTGTAATTTCCAGGAGGGGAGAGGATGACGTTACTCCCCGTATTGCAGGGGGTGTACACCCCCATGCGATATTGTCCACAATATTGAGGCGGATATTGGATGATGTTAATTCTTATATGGCAAAAGGTGTACACACCTCTGTGATATTATCCGTAATGTCCAGGGGGAGAGAGGATGATATTACTCTTCATATTGCAGGAAATATACATGCCACTGCGATATTGTTCGTAACATCCAAGGGTGGAGAGGATGATTTTACTCCCCATATCGAAGGGGGTATACACACCCCTGTGATACTGTTCATAATATCCACAGGGAAAGGAGTTGATATTCCTTTTCATATCGAGGGGGTGTACACCCCACTGCGATATTGTTTGTATTATCCGGGGGAGAAGATACTACTCCCAATATCATAAAAATTCTGTGTGTACATCCTCTGTGATACTGTTTGTAATATCAGGGTGGCAGAGCATGATGTTACTCCCAATATCACAGTATGCATAAACCCTCCTGTGACATTGTTCCTAATATCCAGGGGAGGAGAAAATGATATTACTCCCCATATCGCAGGGAGTGTACACTCTCCTGTGATATTGTTCATAATTTTCAGGGGGTGGAAGGATGATATTATTTTCAATATCACAGGGAGTCCACTCCCCCCGTGATATTGTTTATAATATCCACTGGGGGGGGGGAATGATATTACTCCCAATATCGCAGGGGTTGTACACCCCCTGTTACATTGTTTATAATATCCAGGGGGGAGAGGATAATATTACTCACAATATTACAGGGAGTGTACACCATTCTGTAATATAGTTCATAATATTCACGGGAAGAGAGGATGATATTACTTCCAATATCACAGGGTGTGTATACTCCCCTGTGATATTGTTTGTAATATCCGGGGGGGGCAGAGTATGATATCACTCCAAATATTGTAGAGGGTGTACACACCCCTTGTGATATTGTTCCTAATATCCAGGGGGTGAAAAGGATGATATTACTCCCAATATCACAGCAAGTGTACACCTACCTGTGATATTGTTGTTAATATCTAGAGAGGGGGGAGAGGATGATATTACTCCCAATATCACAGGGGGTTGTACACCCTTCTGGGATATTATGTGTAATATCCTGGTGGAAAGAAAATGATATTACCCCCAATATCGCAGGGTGTGTACACCCCCCTGTGATATTGTTCATAATTTCCAGGGGGGAGAGGATTATATTACTCCCTATATCGCAGGGTGTGTACACCTCCCAGTGATACTGTTCGTAATATCCACGGGGGGAGAGGATTACTCTGAATATCGCAGGGGTTGTAACCCCCTGAGACATTGTTCCTAATATCCAGGGGGTGAAAAGATGATATTACTCTCAATAGCGCAGGGGGTGTACACTCCCCTGTGATATTGTTCCTAATATCCGGCGGAGAGGATGATATTACTCCCAATATCAAAGAAGGCCTATACTCCCCCTGTGATATTGTTGCTAATATCCAGAAGGGAAGTGGAGGATATTACCTTCATTATTGCAGGGGGTGTACACACCCCTGTGATATTGTTTCTAATATTTAGAGGGGAATAGGATGATATTATTCCCAATATCGCATGGGGTGTAT